GTCAGCTTTCCTGCTCCTCTGATGCTGCTTGGCCTGCTGTGTTCATCCAGCTCTGCACCTTGTTATCTCAGATTCTCCAGCATCTGCAGTTCCTACTGTCTCTGAAACACGCCTGTCTTTCACTTGACAGAAGACCAAAAGAACTGTTGATGCTGGAAATCTGAAACAAAAAAAGAAATTGCTGGAAGCTGTCAGTGGGTCTGGCAGAATAAGTGACACTGGACCTGAAACATTAACTCTGATTTCTCTCCGTAGATGCTGCCAGATCTGTTGAGATTTTCCCAAAATTTCTGTTTTTGTTCCTGCCTCTCACTTACCTTAAACACTTACTTTCTCTCAATGGCTGTGAAAGTGGCTTGAGGACCTTTTTTAAATCCTGGAACGTAGTAAGAATTGTATGAAACAGAGGGTAGTTTCACTGCCAGTTCACTTTGCTGCTACTTGTGTAAGTTCCTGGCCTAGACTGACATGTTTGTGCTGAGGAGGCTTCTGGCCAAGAAGTTTGCACAGAGAATTCCTCAAAGGTTAAGAGTGTATTTCTTTTAATCTGATCAGGATCAAAATCGGATTTTCAATCCTGATGGGAAGATTTGGCCCGTATGTTGTTATAACGTCCAGCACTGAAATATTGTGGTTCTTTTCATGGCTTAAAGAGTTAATGAGAAAACTGACAGCGAAATCATTTCTGCTTGTCTTCTCAGGGGAAACGAGTCATCGGGGAAGATGGTTCAGAAGGTTACAACGACCTCTGCCAAGAAAATGCAATGCTACAGAAAGAAAATGACACACTGAGAATGAGAGTAAAAGCCATGAAAGAAACAATTGACGCACTAAATAACAGAGTGACGCAGCTCTTGAGTAATGAAGCCACTCAGATAATAGCCAGTGCAGGTAAAATTAACTCATTAAATTTCATACATGCTGTGAATTCTGTTGAGATATTTTTCATTTAATAGGCAATTCTCGTCACTGTCCAGTTGTGGTGGCAAATTCGATAAACATGCCACTTATTGACTTACTCAATTCCTGGTTTTAAAGTCCCTCTTAGCCATCTGTTTGTCAATTTCATGGCACTGGCATTGAAGGTGATGGCTTGTTTCATAATTAGAATCCTCATTTTTCAAAGCAGACTAGGTGAAGATTTCTAGGTTACAATCCTATCAGTTCTGAGTTTTCCTGATGTTATTTGCAGCATGATTCGGGAGCTAAAAGCTATTGACCGAGCAACATTTAGGTTTACAGGTCACCATAATTGCTACAAACTGAGATTGATAGCCATGATGGGATTTTTCTAATTTTGTTTAAACAAGTGCCTGTGAGTCATGGTCCATGAGAAAATCAGATCAAATGTTTTCAGTAAATGCATTTTATGACACTAATTTATTGTACAAATTGTACTGTAATTTCTGAAGGTTTAAGTAATAGGACAATTTATTTCAATCAAATCATGGTGTTTTATTATTTCCCACCTTTTGTTCCACCACTTTTATTTCATCTTTGAGTAGCTTTATGAAATGAAGCTCTTGCTCATGATGTGATTAACTTCACTTATACTGAATAGTGCAAATTACTGATGACTGGAGGAATTTGTTTGGTTACTGCTCAGCAGTCTTTCCTTAAGAAATAGAAGTTACTAGTTCAGTTTAGTTGCTTGTCCATAAAGCATACGAGCGTATTTGCATTATTACTTGAACTAGCATACCATGGGTAGTTTTTAAGGGATTGAAATTGCATTTCATGATAACTAGTTGCATTGAACCGGGAAAGAAAAACATTAAAATGTTTGATGGTGACAGACAGAGGCTAGTTAAAGAAATATACATAGATTTCAACAAATATACATTATTTTAAGGGACAAAACCCAAACAGGAAAATGTCATCTGTGGTTAACAACATAAGTTAAAGATTATGTTAATTTGGAGGAAGAATCAAATGAAGCCACCACAAAAGTATCAAACTTAAGGATTGGGAACACTTTAGAATTTGGCAAAGGAAGACTGATAATGCAAGGAGAAACAAGACATGAATGTAAGCTAGCAAAAAATTGAAAATATTTTGTAATAGTTGTATGCATAAAGGAACAGGCTAGTGTAGACAAATGTGAGTCTGATATGGGCAAAGACAGGAGAATTTTTAATGAGAAATGGGAAAATAGCAGAGAAGCAGAGGGGCTTTTAAGCAACTCTTGGATTGGCACATGGATGATAGTAAAACGTAGGGTATGCAGGGTAGATTGATCTTGGTAGGATAATAGGTCGGCGCAACATTGTGGGCCAAAGGGCCTGTACTGTTCTATGTTCTATGTTGTGTGTTCTAAGCTGAACAAATACTTTGTATCTGTCTTCATGGAGGAAAATACAAGAAATACAAGACATAATAGAGATTCAAGGAACTTGTGAAAATGAGGATCTGAATGAAATTTGTATCAGTAAAGAAGTAGTACTGGCCAATTTGAAGGTACTGACAAATCCCCGGGATATGATCTGCATAACAGAGTGTTGAAAGAGATGGCAGTACAGATGGTGGATGTATTGGTGACCATCTTTCAAAATTCTATAGATTCTGGAATGGTGTTCACAGATCAGAAGTTTGCAAATGTAACCCCACAACTTAAGAAAGGAGGGGGAGAGAAATTAGGGGAACTACAGGCCTGTTAGCTGGACCTTGTCACTTCAAGAAGTGACAACTGAATACTTAAAAAAAAACCTGCTTGGATTTATGGAAGGGAAATCATGTTTCACAAATCTGTTAGAGGATATTACTAGCTGAGTAGATAAGCAAGAACAGTTGTTGTGATACATTTGGATTTTCGGAAAACTTTTGGAAAGGAATAGGTGGTAATAGACTGACATAGATTGGGGATTGGTTAACGGAAATAAAATAGAGCAGGCATAAATCAGTTATAGTCAGCTTGGCAGGCTGTGAGGACAGTGTACTGCAAGGATCACTACTTAGAATCCAGATGTTCACAATCACAATCAAAGAATGGGATTTGGGGACCAAATATAATATTTCTAAGAATGCAGATGACACAAAACTAGGTAGAAATGTGAATTGTGAGGAGGATGCAAAGGGACTTCAAGGAAAATTGGGCAACAACATATAGGATGGAATATAATCTGGATAAGTGTGAGGCAGTCCAAATTGGTAGGAGGAATGAAGGTGTAACAGTTCAGTGATTCTGAATATGGGAATAGCATGGAAAAATAGCATTGAGGTACATGATCAGCCATGATCTAGAATGGCAGAGCAAGCTCGAGGGGCTGCATGGCCTACTCCTGTTTCTGTGTTTGTAACTGCACCATCGGAGGTAATCCTGTAGCACAGGTGGTCTGCCCATTCAGCTACACTTAAAAAGAATGTACGTGGATCTTCATCAAAGCAATGTTTCCACTTTGATTCTTTTTTTGCATGTCCAATGGTTCACGGTTTTATTTTTCTGCAGGAGACAACAATGAGGAAATAGGAGCATTAATTCAAAACTATATTCGAGAAATACAGGATCTCAGGTTAGTCCATGAATTTGTATGGTCCATGTTGGTTGGTGTTGATAGCTCCTTCCAACAGAAGAAGCTTTCCAATAGAAGAGTATCCTTTAGATACACTGCCACTCAAATTTCATCCCTTCACTGCTTGGCATCCAGTAAAAATATGATTGGATCTGATATGACTTGTCTTTTAAGGACTTCTCAAAAATCAAAATATGGCTCATGAAACTGTGTCAGAATTCTATCTTTTCAGCTCTGGCACCTCTGTTAAAATCATCCTCAAAATTGTTAAAATGAAAGTCTCTTCATTTATTGAGATGCCAATGTGAACTTATGATTGAAGCCATTTTAAATGTTTTCTTCATGATGCTTGCCCACATTAAAAAAAATACTAGTGCTTCATTAGCAACTGGATAACTGGGGAGGCAATGGCCTCGTGGTATTATCAGTAGTCTGTTAATCCAAAGACCCAGGTAATGTTCTGGGAACCTGGGTTTGAATCCTGCTATGGCAGATAGTGATATTTGAATTCAATAAATATCTGGAATTAAGAGTCTAATGATGACCATGAATCCATTGTCAACTGTCAGGAAAAACACATCTGGTTCACTAATATCCTTTGGAGAAGGAAACTGCCATCCTTACCTGATCTGGCCTACATGTGACTCCAGACCCACAGCAATGTGGTTGACTCGTAACTGGTCTCAAGGCAATTAAGGGATGGGTAATAAATGCCAGCCAGTGACACCCTTACCTGTGAATGAATTTTAAAAAATCGCTCTAACTCATTTTAACAAAACTATTGTTAATCTTTCAGATTCTATATTTGGAAAATAAAAGGTTCTTGCCTGATTTGAAATGTTTGTTGTAATAATGCTGAATGGGACACTGTCATTTTTCACATTTTCTCATTATCAGAAGTGCACTTTGTAGTGTACAATATTGCACCAAGTAAGACAAACACATGGCCAACTGTTGGCAACAATTGTTGAACCAGCTTTATTTACGCCTCCCTGCAGAGAAGGCAGTTACCCACCTAATGGAATAAACCTTTGCAAAGAATTTCTGGAGAGACAGGAAATGGTGTTTATTGCAGTTCATTCTGAGCAGCTCTGTGATCTAGGGCTCTGTGCTACAGGCTACTACCAGACATATCCACCAGGATAAATATCAACTGTGGCTGGAGGGCTAGCAAATCAATGACTAACACTGGGTCACAGGTCCCGAAATGTTAATTCTGTTTTCTGTTCACAGATGGTGCCAGACCTGCTAAGTTTTTCCAGTTTTCATAGAATCCCTACAATTGGGAAGCAGGCCATTCGGCCCATCGAGTCTACAGTGACACCTCCGAAGAGTATCTCAGCCGGACCCACTACCTACCCTATCCCTGTAACCCTGCATTTCCTGTGGCTAATCCACCTAGCCTGCACATCCCTGGACACTATGGACAATTTGGCATGGCCAAACCACTTAACCTGCACATTTTTGAACTGTGGGAGGAAACCAGAGCACCGAGAGGAAACCTACACAGACACAGGGAGAATGTGCAAACTCCACACGGATAGTCGCCCAAGGCTGGAACCGAACCTGGGCTCCTGGTGCAGTGAGCCAGCAGTGCTAACCACTGAGCCACCATGCTGCCCCATATATGCCAATGAATAACACTGTTTGGTCTGCCTGAAATGTGCTGGTCTTCCAATGCAAAGAGTTGTCCTCAACTGCCTGTTGCATACAAGCACATTCCAAGGTCCAGGACTATGTGTTAACTGATGCAGTAAAATTTGGGGCATCTGCCATAGAAGCACAGTGGGGAAATGTTGCTGCCTAGAGTCTTCCAGCCATAGCATATGCTGGGACTGGAAATTCTAAAATCTCTTTAGCTGCATGCTTGACAAGAATTTAATTCACGAACATTAAGAGTATTGAAAAAGCACTGGGACATCTGAGTGGAAAATAGTATATGGAAAAAAGTTTATTGCTAATCCATTTCCTATTACTTTCAATTTGACATGTTTTGCCCTTGGGACGTATGGTTTGGAACGTAAATTGTAATTGTTAAGAGTATTACAACTGTATTGTTGTTTTCTATGTGAAACATGCTCTCAAAGCTCTCTGATTTCTCAGAAAAAAATAAAGGCTATTTTGTTCCAGGACCAAACTACTGGAGAGTGAAGCAATGAATGAGTCCCTCCGACACAATGTATCTCGATTGACGTCCAGGTCCTCATATTCAGCGGGACTGTCTCCCATGCCTTGCTCAATGTCCAGTCTCGTTGGTTCCCTGGAATCCGATACTTCTGAAATTGTTGAAATGGCAAAAAAAGACTTAGAACTGCTCAAGAAAAGGGAAAGAATACGAAAAAGAAATAGGTAATTTTGTGCATAAATTCTTCGAGATAATGCACACATTTAATAAAGTAGCAAATTCCACAGCAATTTGGGCCTAAAGGTTGTACAGTGGTGACAAAGTTTCCACTCTGGGGCTCCTGGAAACTAGTAACTTGTAGGCAAAACCTTTGGAAATAGAAACCATCAGATTTCAGACCGGCATGCATCACTTTTTAGTCTGTGAAACTTGATTCCACGCTGTCCAGTTTTATTTTTTGCTGGCCTCTGTCCTTAAAATGGCATTCAGTATATAGGAGCATGTAGTTCTGATACTAAACACGTGCCAGCCACTACTTTAGGAGTGCAGACGTGGCCTGTTGGCATGGGCAGATTCAATGACGGTCAATGTGAAACATTCTCTCCTGTCAAACTCCCCCAAAGCCACCAATGCAATATTAGAAAATCTTGGCCATGATCAGCCATTATTTGGTGACCCCATCGCAAAATCATTTTTTAGAAAGTCTTTCAGTGCCCACTTTAGCCATTAAAAACTGTAAACTGGCTTTAGTTATGCAGACTAGCCTTTCCCCCCCCATACTGGCCTGTCATAATTTTAACCACTCATTATTGCATTTAGTATTAGTTGCATGCACTAATAATCATTTAATTTTACGGCAACTCAAATGTGTACTGGGTAAACCTGTATTGCTATTTTCATACCTGTTGCATATAGGTTACTTCCATTTTTGTCCCTCTGATCTATTGACTAGATGAGTTGGCCTTGGTGGACTCAGAATGTTGTAGGTTCAAGCTGCACTGCAGAGACTTGACACAATGTAGTTAGACACTTCAGTGAAGTTGTGAGGGAGTGCTGCACTGTCAGTGGTACAACTGTCAGGTGACCATTATATCAAGGTCACATTTTGCTTCTCCAGTAGATGTTAAATTTGTGCAACACTATTCTGGCTAGTGTTTATTTCTGTTAAATATATAAGTAATTTTATTCTTATCAGCATCGTAATTTCCATTTCTAAATCTTCTAACAGAAATGATGTTGAAGACTAATTCTGCCCATTTGCCTAATTCCTGTTTGCTAACATGGTAACAACAGGTTTTAAAAATGCTGTAATAATGGCATGATAGAGAAAAGTCAACATCACATTCACAAACAGAAAATCACTTGACTGAAGAAAATGCAAAGCTGAAATTGGGTCAGCTACATATTTAATTCAGTCATAATTAATTTCCTGCTATGTATTCTCATTTTTTTCTTTTTAAAGCCCAGTGAAAGAGAAAAGAAGAGGAAATTTACAGCAAGAGAATTGGGAAGAGACGGATGACAATGAAGTGGAAGGGGTAAGGAAAGACTTAAATATTTACTTTAAAAACCGAGGTTTCTGAATGCTAATATTCAGTTTTTTATGTACCTTTGTCAATAATTATTCTGATATTTTTGTTTTCTACATCCTTATGCATTCTTGGTGGCACAAGTTCAATAGCAATCTTCTTTTTGATAATTTTGAAGACGAATAATTGGGCCAACAATGAAATGGCAGATGGATCAGGTTGTACTGGAGACCCTTGCACTCTATACCTGAACTACAGGTATAGACGCACATGTCTTACTTTTACAGGGCATGATTACATTTGGAGACTTCTTTTATAAAACTAAACTGTGTTAACAGATTAGTTGGCGTAAATATTAATCGAATACCTGAATAACTTTACTGCTTCCTCAAAAGCAAATTAATCACAGTTAGCTTTAATGGGATTAGAGTGGAAGAGTGGGAAGTTTTGCTACAATTACACATGCAGTTAGCCAGGTCATGTCAGGAGTAGTGTGTGCAGTTTTGTTCTTCTTACCTAAGGAAGAACATACTTGTTTGAGAGGAATTGCAGCAAAGGTTTACTACATTGGAATGAGGGGATTATACATGTGGAGGGATATGCTAATAGTCCTTAGTGTTTAATATTATATATTATATTTTTAATATTTTCAGGGTGATCTAAATGAAACATATAAAATATGTTTTATATGTTGATGGAGTAGACGCTGAGAAAGTTTGTCCTATTGCTGGAGAATTGAGAACATGGATTACAGTTTCAGAATAAAGATACTTAGGCCTGAGATCAAAGGTGTTTATTTTTCACATCCCAGAGGGCTGTGTATACTCACTTCCTAAATGTATTCAGACGGGGAGCAAAACATTTTTATATAACAATGGATAAGGAGTTGGGAAGGTCGAATTGAAGTAGAAGATCAGCTTTAATCTCGTTAACTGGCTCCAGTCTATGAACCTGCAATTATGAGCAAACTCAAGTTCCTGTGCTTCTGAAACTCTGTTACACATACACTATCTCTGTATAATTAAGGATGTATTCTTCTCTGCATTGACCAAGATTAGTAGTCAAATAGTAAACCTCAGAAAGACCCAGTTGATAAAGTCTGTCATTTCTGTCCTTGATGAACTAGCCACAGTTCAAGCATGTTTTATTATCTTGAAGCTGATATTGTTCTCCTACAAGGCACCAATCTGTCTGTGAGCATCACTTGTTACTTGTCCTCTGCCCTGAAGCTAAATGGAACAGGAGGGCATTGAAAAAATATGCTTAGAACACAGCCTAGTAGAAAATCAAATTCCAAGTTAAGTTTAGACAATGTTTTAAAATCTAAATTAAGTGGGCACTAACTTAATATTTATGTTGACAGCACCAACTCCTCCCATTCTCCTCATGTTTGATAGTAATTTTATCTGTTTTTTCTACATCATACAGAGTCCTCCAGTATCTTCCTGTACATCTGTCATGCTACATAAATTTAAGTAACCGCAAAACTAATTTACCTGTTCTGCTAGCTCCATTGTGTTTTTGTATAATTTCAGGAGGAGGAGCATGAAGAAAGTTGCTGTGAAGATGAGGAAGGTGGAGATGATGAAGAATTTGACAGTGATGGCAGCATGGATGAAACCGATACAGAATCAGAAGAAAAGGGTAATAATCACAACCCATAGTGGAATTTTCTGAGTTTATTAGAATTAGTTTAAGTAGGATTGAGAACAGAATCATTGCTGAATGAGGCCATTCAGCCCATGGAGTCTGCACTAACTTTCCAAAGAGCATCCCACCCAGACCCACCACGCATTAACCTGCATATCTTTGGATTATGAGAGAAAACCGGAACACCAGGCGAAAACCATGCAGATATAGGGAGAATGTACAAACTCCACACAGACAGTTACCTGAGGTTGGGACTGCTTTCTACACTGGGTGTACACGTACCATTATTGGCTAACCCTATTGATTTTAACAACAAAACAAGGCTGGAATTGAACCCAGGTCACTGGGGCTGTGAGGTAGCAGTGCTAACCATTGTGCACCGTGCTGCCCAGGAGGGCATTTAGAACATTAACAACATTAAAACAATACGGATTAAGCTTCAGATTAGAGTTGACCCATTGTAGTTAATAGCAGAAAATATAGTCTTCTGTTGCAACAAGAAAGCATTTTGAGATGTCCTGTTATTGTAAAAAACCTTCTATAAACGTAAGTTCTTTTAACAACAAAAGAATTAAAATATAACAAAATCCATCGACAGCAGGTGAACATTTGAGACTAATGTACAAGACAAGGAGAATTAGTTTTCAATATATAAAGAGTCAGAACATAAAGATAATAAGAAATTAATTGCGCTTAATGTAAATTTCTTCTTGTGAAGAGTGTAGTGAAAACAGGCAGATTTATTAATGTGGCAGGAGAGATCAAAAGTTTTAATGTAAATGAGAAAGTGTCAAGTGTCATCATTTGACCATTAGAAATACAGTTCATAATTATTATAAGGCTATCTTTATAAAACTCTAAAATATCTTTGTCGGGAAAATGGGCACTAGGTTCAGTATGTTCCATGGTGCACATATGCTCACTCTACACTGGGTGTACACATACCATTATTTGTTAACTGTATAGGTTTTAAAACAATCAACAATGGTTTCAAAATCATCATTAGACTTTTAACTTCAGACTTTTCTATGTGTTTGCCATCATCTGCCATGATGGGATTTAAACCCAAGTCCCCAGAGCATTATCTGGATCTTTGGATTACTACTCCAGCAACAAGACCATGACACCAGCAACATGTTGGTTGAATCTGTTCAGTGACATTGTTGCACACCCCTGAAGCAGGTGGAAGTTGAACCTTGGTTCCTTGCTCAGAGGTTCGGACACTCGCTGCATCACAAGAACTCTGCGTGTTGATTAACTGTATTTCTAACCATTCAGAGCACCTGCTCGCAAGTGGTATTAAACTCATCATCTGTGAAAATGGAGGCCACTTTGCTTTAATAAGGAGCCAGGAAGAGAAGAAATGCACTTCATACCGTCTGTACTAGAACTGCAGAATGCTGTAGTTACAATTTTCCACCATCCCCCACAAACTTATTTGCTGCTGTTGGATGAAATCCTGATTGATTGCTGTTTCTGGTGGCGATTGACAAGCTACTCTGGGGTCATAATTGAGACCCACTGCTCATCACCACAGTATTAGAGACGACAATGGCCTATTTTCCCATTGTCTGGCCAGTAGCTTCTTTGGGCAGGTGTAATGCGCGTTGTACCTGGATCGTGCCCTAAGTCGGGAAACTTCCAATTTCTAGGCTCTTTGTGAGGATTGTATTAGAAAACAATTCCTAAAATATTCTGGCCCTCAAAATTCAGTGCAGGTTGAAAAAAATTCAGAAGAGGGAGATCTAAATCTTTAAAATATTCTTAAAATCTACAGATAATTTGGATGCAAGATAGAAAGAAGACATCATTATAATGTTGACAAGTCCTCAAGCAAGGCAAGCTTAAAGTTAATAAAGTTCACTTGGCATGAACTCTTATTAAAGCTGATTCACGTCTGCAAAAAAGAGATTTAATGAATAGCTGATTTTGAATGAGTTTCTGTGATTCTGGATAAGCATGGGTTCAGATGATTTAGGACAATTTTAATTGGTTCATAGGATTATCATCATTTACCAGCATTGAAATAAACCTGTGTTGATATCAATGGGGTTTCAGTGATGGTTCTTTCTGGCTCAACGAGACATTCAGATTTCCTTTCTTGGGCGTGTATCTTGCAGTGAACTAAGGTTCACCAAGTGGTCTGTGTTAGATTTGGTCCTGAGCTGAGCATAATGTTGTAACCTTCTTCCTGTCAGTTTCTTCAGACTGTACTTTGTCTGTTGAACATAGTACTCAATAGTATTGCAAATTCTGCATTACAGACTTAGGTGAGTTAACTTCCTGAGAGATACTGGGTGGAATCATGTTGAGCAGTTGGGATGTGGAGGATGGGAGACTTCATCTGTTGACTGGAGAGCTGGCAAGTGAGTTCCTGTTCTCTTTCATGAAGACCCATTGAACCACAACAACATCAGGCAGCGGCAAGACTAGCCCACCCTTGCAATCAAGACTTTGGGGACAGAAGACCTTCCTATCGAGAGCTGCCAACCAGAGGCCAGCAGCTCTTTTGTTCAACAGCACCACTGGGGAGACTGTGCCTGCTGCCAGAATGACATTTAACAGAGTCCCAATGATGGCCCAGGCTGGCAGTAAGCAATACGATTGGGCAGGGTGGTGTTTCACTTGGAGGCGACACGTTGGCCATGCTGTTCAGCTACTGTGCATGCTGCTTGGTGACAGGCCTGCCTGAGGCTAAGTTAAGACTGGTGACGGTTGAATGAGGTCTTTAGCTGCTCTTATTTTCTAGCGGAGGCGTAAAACGGTGGAATTCAAGTATGTCACTGTGCTGCCTATTTAATACCTTTCCTGCCTCGAAGTTCACCACCAAGTGGAGCAGAAGATTCTTCCCATCATTGTCCAAATCTTTTCCATTACCATTTTGTTCTGCATGTTAAACACTGACTGAATGTAACCAAGTTACAGAGGTGACTGAAATGTCTGCGATGTGTGATTTTCAATACATTTAGTCCAGTTTCCACCTGTTGATTATGCAGACGGATCCCCTAAACTCAATCTGAGCTGTCTCCTGTGGTTTTTGTTTGGTGGTGAGCTGTCTACATTTTGTTGGTTTAAGTGCTTTAGAATAATATAATAGTTACATAATATATAATGCAATGTGAAAATTTGAGTTGTTGATTCCTCAATTGTGTTAATGGTTTAATGGATTGTTTCTTTGCTTAATTCTCAGTTAATTATCAGGCTGACCTTGCTGACATAACTTGTGAGATTGAAATCAAGCAGAAACTCATTGATGAACTTGAGAATAGCCAGCGGCGATTGCAGATATTGAAACAGCAGTATGAGGAAAAACTGATCCTGCTACAGAATAAGATCCGGGACACACAGCTAGAGCGAGACCGTGTTCTCCAGAACCTTGGTATGGGTTATGGTCTCTTTTATGTGTAAGGATGTGCAATTTTTCACAGCTGGAAGAGCATTCCCAGCCCTTGTGTCATTTTTGTCTTTAAATTTCCAAAGTGCTGTTGTCTTTAGTGTGCACTATATATGTACTTTATCACTTCTAATATTACCACATACATGTACAATTCCACATACAGTTGACAGACTAATCCAGTAAGTAGGAGGTGAAAAAACAATCCTGGTACATGCCATCATCCCCTCTACCCACGCCAAACAAAAAAAACCAACTGGTTGGTCTTGCAATTATTTTTGGCGGGAGAGTTGGAGTATGTAGGAGCAAATTATTGCAGATACTGGAATCTGTACTGAAAACAACAAATGCTGGAGATCACAGCGGGTCAGGCAGCATCCATAGAGAGAGATCAAGCCAGTGCTTTGAGTCTTAGATGACTCTTCTTCAGAGCTGAAGTGAAGTGTGAAGGAGGCAGTGTTGGGGAGGGTTGGGGGTAGTGGGTGGAGGGTGCAAGAGAGGACATGAAAAGAAAGGGAAGAAATGGTTCACAATTTGAAGGTGTTGAACTCAATATTAAGTCCAGAAGGTTGTAAAGTGTCTAGGCTGAAGATGAGCTGTTGTTCTTCCAGTTTGCGCTGTGATTCACTGGAACAATGCAGCATGCTGAGAACAGGCATATGGGCATGTGAGCAGGACACCGTGTTAAAATCACTGGCTGTGGGAAGTTCAGGGTCATGCTTACGCACAGACCAGTGGTCCTCCGCAAAGCGGTCACCCAGTCTGTGTTTGGTTTCTCCAACGTAGAGTAGACCACATTGGGTGTAGTGAATATAATACACAAGATTGGAGGAGTTTCAGGAAAAATGCTACTTAATCTGGAAAGAGTGTTTAGGCCCTTGGATGGTGAGCAGGGAGGAGATGAAGAGGCAGGTGTTACACCTTCTGAGATTATATGGGACGTTGCCGTGGAGAGGCGGGTTGATGTTAGTGGTTGTGGAATGGGCTAGGATGTCCTGGAGGGAATCATCCCTGCAAAATGCAGACAGGGGCTGTGAGGGGAGATGTGTTTGTTGGTGGTGTTTGCTGGAATTGTCTGAACTGGTGGGGAATGATCCTTTGAAAGCAGAGGCTGGTGGGATGAAAAGTGAGGACAAGGGGAACGCGATCCCACTGTTGTGAGTGATGGGAAGGGGCAAGGGCGGAAGCACGGGTGATAGGTCAGACGCAGTTGAGGGCCCTGTCAACCACAGTGGGTGGGAAACCATGGTCATGGAAGAAGCAAGCTATGTCAGCAGCACTGTTTTGGATGGTGGCATCATCCAAACTGATGTGATGTAGGCAAAAGAACTGGGAGAATGGGATGCAGTCCTTGCAGGTATGATGAGCTGTAGTGAAGGTAGCTATGAGAGTCAGTGGCTTTATAGTGGATGGGAGTGGACAGTTTATTCCACAAAATAGACACAGAGAGGTCAAGGAAAGGAAGTGCCAGAAATGGACGATGTGAAAGTTACAGAGGTGTAGAAATTGGAGGCAAAATGAACAAAGTTTTCAAGGTCCTGGCAGGAGCGTGAAGAGGCACCAAAGCAGTCTTTGAGAAAAGAGTTGTGGTAGGAGGGCCAGAGTAAGACTATATGTTCTTACTTGCCTTTATTGACGTTTAAGTTTGGGTGTCTTTATGCTTTAAATAATAATGTGACTAGCAAATAGAAAGGAAGAAGTGATCCATAATTAATTGCAACCCAAGTTCAGATGCATTTGAAATCTAATGTCGACATAATATTCCTTTTTAGAGGTAGATTTATTTAGATTGCTGCTGCACCATTCCCTTACTGTATGAATGAATTAGTTAGGTATGAGGTTTTGTGTTAGGCTACATTTCTCTCGTTTATTAACCTTCTCTCACTTACATTCGGGAAGACTTTGGGGAAGAGGAGTTAGGGACGGCTTGTGATGAGCATTGTGTGGGGAATTTGAGAATGCCAGTGAAACTCTGGAACTTCAAAGGATTTTTAATTAGTTCATAATTTGTTCTGTCTATTTTTTAAAATATAGCTAGGCTCATTTTAAATAATTGGAACCGCTTTTTAATTTTTTTTGTTTCTTCAAGTTCCTTCCAAAACATACATTTTTGAATGTGAATTAATTTTAAGTATTATTAAAGGCTTTTTGACTTTTTTTTAAGTTTAATGGTTTCAATCTGTGCATCAATAATAAATGGCCTCCCTTCTTTTGTTCCTCCCTTTTGAGGAGGTCAGTCAGGAGGCCCAGTGCAGAGGCTCCAGTATAGTGCCTATCTGATGGTATCCATGCCCCACTGACTTCAGATGCTAAACAGTTTACTGGAATTAAGACTGATATACAAAAGAGCTGTGTTTTGCCTGCAAAGCTTTGAGTTATGCCATCTGCTGTACAGCTATAGGTACACCACAAAGGAAAATATTCAGCTGACTTAAGAACGCATTGCTAAATAATTGCAGTTCGTGCAGACCTGTTATGGCAACAAACTCAACTCGATTGCATGCTGACATGTACCTCTCCTGCATAACTTTTAATGCTGCTGTGTAGAGATTAATCTGCTCCCTTTTATGAGAATTATTCCTCACCTTTCCCTAAATTTGCGCACATCTGATCTGCACACATTTCATCAACAACAAAGCAAATGTGTTCTTGCTATTTGAGACCATTGTGATTCCCTTGTGTACTTACCCTTGTAAGCCCCTTCAGTCTTTGTCTCTTAGTTCTTCTGAAGTGGCTGGATATTCTGAGATGACTGATGAATTATACCAGGGTCTGCTGGTGATTGAGGTAGTACTTTCTTGTCTTTGGTTGTGAGCCAATTTTCCTTTTTTCAAATAAATCTAGAGTGAGAGGTCAAGTGGAACACAACCGAGGTTTTGCAAGTAATTCCCTTTTGGGAACACAGAGGCAAGCACGTCCAGGATTTCCACCTTGAATTGTGCACTTTGTGGTTGGCTTGGTAGATGGATGTTTTCTTTCTGAATTACAGAAACTATTTGTAAGCTCTTAAAGCAGCCCTCCAGTGATTGCTGGGTTGGTACAGAGATTCAAAGCCAATGCTGTTATCAATAGTTAATCAGATCATCTGGTTTGTCTTTGTAACAATGTGGTTCAATGTATTATCTGAGTTTGCTGCATCTTCAGGACACTGCATTCTCAAATATCAAGAGTTTCCCTGAGGTGCGACAATGCCCCGTTTAAGCCCTTCATAATTTTCCCCTCTTTCACCAACTTTATATTTTTCCTACATCTTTCCAAACTGAAGTACCTCCACATGATGGATGAGCTGAAATCTGAAATCTTTGGTGAAGTCTTGAGGAGGCGGTGGGAGTCTTAGCCAGTGGCTAGAGAGCCAGCAGGAGCCCTGTGGAGCCTCCTTTTGGACGGCCTGTCATGTTTTGTTTCACTCAGGCATTTGAAAGGCCAGCAGACAGCCTGTCCCTGGAAATGAGGACCCCAAGGACAGAGGTCTTGCCTGCTGAGATATTGAATGGTAGCACCACCAAGGAAATAGTGGCTGCAGCTGGTATGACACTCACTCGAGGGCTGGTCTTGAGGCTGAAGCCCAGGCCACATTTGTGTGATGGTCAGAGGGTGTCATAGGATGGAAGGAGATTACGGGTGGATAGGATGGGATGGGGAAGACAGCAAGGGCAGTGGAGTCACAGTCAGCAGGGACTCCCATTCTCAATGCCATGTTCCTCAGTCAGGTGTTGAATAACTTTGAACGAAGGATCTGCAATGCCCCCAGGAGTTGACAGATAACCATAGACATGGTTGTTTGATGTTCTCCCTGCACTAAGAGCTGTCCACCACCTGTGATGGATGGATGAGGCCCTTGAATGGGCATTTAGCATCCACTTGAAAGTCTCATTTGGTAACAGGCTGCGGTGGCCATGTTACCCCTGACATCACCAAGGTAAAGGTGGGAATACACGACAGTTTCCACCCACCACCATCTTCCCATCTGATTGAAATGACCCCTACCACTAAATACATAGGGGCACGAGACGCCAGCCCACCCACCTAGAATTATAATGTCATCTTCTAGATTCACAAGCACAGCATTATTGTGCAGTTCCAGAAATTGATAGAATTTCAAACTGGTGAAGTTATTTGTGTGATTTTATTTGCTCAGGATCTATGGAGTGCAACACAGAAGAGAAAGCCAGCAAGATTAAAGCAGACTATGAGAAAAAATTGAAGGAAATGAATAGAGAGCTGCAGAAGCTACAGTTAGCACAGAAAGAACATGCACGTTTGCTGAAGAATCAAACTCGATATGAACGAGAGCTAAGGAAACTGCAGAGTGAAGTGGCTGAAATGAGGAAAACAAAGGTATGCACACGTGTTCTTTGACTGAAACCATCTTAACATCCAATTTCCATGATTATTTTGATCCTTTAAATAGCTTGGGTGAAATCTCATTGTGGGCTACAAGGGTGACTGACGCTGGGAGAGGAATGTGAGGCACTCTTCACTGGTGGCTGATATTTAGGGCTCAGTGTAGATGATGAGACTGTAGAAGTTGGGGGCATCAGAGGGATGGGGCCTGATGGAATTGGGTTGCTGGAGATAGTAGGGGGGAAAGGTGAGAGAAAGTCAGAACTGCTTGGACTATCACCCCATCAGGCTTGCCGAGGCATCCCTCAAACTCCTCTGGTCTGCGTGTCCACCTCAGCACAGGATTGGGTCCTGAGCATTGAGGGGTATATGACATTCAGAAAATGTAGGAAAATAGGCAAATGTGGAGAAATTGGACTGTTAATCAAGGATGGCATTTTCACAATCCCTGGAGAGGATCAGGATGTCGAGTCAGTTTGGGTCAAGTTGGGGAATAGTAGAGGAAAGATGTCATGAGTGGAAGTGGTCTCAGGTCACCTAATGTGTAACTACAATATATGACAATGTACACTAGAAAGAACATTGGGTCCTTTGTGTTAAAAGGACAGCAATAAGCATGGGTGACACCAATCTTCACATAAACTAGAAAAATCAAATTGGCAGTAGGAGTCTAGATAAGTTCATAGAATGCTTTCAAGATTGTGCTTGGCTAAGAAACTTTCTGGAACTGACTAAAGGAGGTTATGTTAGACTCAGTTAAGTAAAGGTAAAATACAGCAGAAGATTTAAATCTGAAATAAAAACAGAAAAGTCTGGCAGGGTCTATGGAGAGAGAAACACAGTTAACATGTTGAGTTTAAAGACTCTTCTTCAGAACTTTAAATTAAACTTGGGATTGTGTAAAATGACAAGACTACTAAATAATCATAACAGCATTCCTTGGTAGCAGTGACCATAATGTGATTGAATTCTATATCTAATTTGAAAGGGAGAAGATTGGGTCTAAGACGAGTATTTTAAATATAAATTAAGGGCAACTACTTAGGAATGAAAGTTGAGCTAGCTGAAGTGTATTGGTATGTTAGGCTAGGAGAATAGATCAATAGAGACACAGTGGAAGACTTTTAAGATAATTTTACGGAATACTCACATGTAAGTATACTTCTACTATAAAGAGAAATTATAATGGGAGGACCCATCATCTGTGTTTAACTAAAGAAGATAAGGAAAATGTGAAAATTAAGACAAAAGCATATTGCTGCAAGGATGAGGGTCAGGCCACATCATTGATCAGAATACGAAGACGACCGAGAATAACTAAAGATTAATTGGGAGCAAGAAATTGAAATATGAGAAGAAGCTAGCAGGAATCATAAAAATAGATAGCAAGAGTAGAATGGTACATTGCCTTTGAGAGATGTGTTCTGTCCTGTTTCTCATGCAGAGGGGTTTGTCACCCTGAGGCAAAGGTGTCTGCTCCAGGCAAGCAGAGTAAATAAGGTTTGTGTTTTATTTTAGTTAGACAAAAGAAGCATGAGTGGGCAGGGTCAGGGCTGTCATAGATCCAGGAAGATTTTCAGTTAGTTCGTTGAAGCCTTCTTCCAGCTGCTGAGCTAAAAGCGTGAGTTCTGTGTTGGTGTGAAGTCTTAGGTAGCGAGGCTTCCTCTTAATAATCAAAAGGAGCAGATTGTTTGTTTCTTTCTTCTGGAATGGAGAGAGACAGCACGTGAAAATCATAGCTCTTTTGATGAATTGAATTTTTGCCAAAGGGTGTGTTTATGGAATGCTGCCTATATTGGAAGTGTTAATGATTAGTGATATATAGAATAAAATGTGTTTTAATTAAAGCTTAGTGGTGGACCAGTTGAATCACAATTGGAATACAGCACCTTGGACTTGTCTTTAAATAAGTATTAAAATTAGGGTCTAGGCTATCTCCTTAAAATACTTTGGTGGGGAGGGTGGGGGTGGTGGGGGCTGGTGGGTGGGGAGTAGATTCTAGTCTGGTCCATAACTAGAGTTTCTACAGACATTTGAGCAAGAAAAGTGAGTACTGATCCTCTAGAGGGTGAGAGTGGGGAGTTAATAGTAGACAATAAGGAAATGGTGGCTGTAACGAACAAATATTTTGCTTTTGTCTTCACTATAGAGGATGTACAAATCTTCCTGGTAATAGCTATAAATTAGGAGGTGGACGAGAGAGAGAGACTAGACTGTAGTTTGACAAGGGTCTGTGGCCAGATGGACGACTTCATACGTTTTTAAAAAGAGGTTACTAATGAGATGGTAGATGTGTTGGTGTTAATTTTCCAAAACTCCCTAGATTCTAGAGAGATTCCATCAGACTGGAAAATAACAAACATAAGCCCTCTATTCGAGAAGGGAGGGACGCAGGTGCTTGGTGTCTATCGTAGAGAAGGTGTTACAATCGATCACGAAAGAGATTATAGTTGTGCGCTTAGAAAAATCCAAGGTAATCCGGAAGAGTAGGTGTGGTTTCAACAAAGGGAAATGATGTTCCAGCAATTTATTACAGAACTTTGAATGAGGAAAATGCACTGTGGATGAAAAGGAGTTGTAGCTGAACTGCACTTGAATTTCCTGAAGGCATTTGACAAGATGTCATGTCAATGATTATTGCAGAAAATAAAAGCTCATGGTGTAGGCAGTAGCATTTGAGCACAGATGGAGATTGGTTTGTTGGCTGGCTGGCAGAAAGAAACATATATACTGGATCTTTGACAGTAAGAACTGCCGATGCTGGAGTCAGATCTTTGCCTGATTCACATGATATATTGAGTGGAATCTCTCACTGGGATCTGTGCTAGGGCTTCAACATGTTGTAATTTACAGCAACAACTTGGATGAGGGGAGCAAAGGCATTGTAGCTAAATTCACAGACAACAATGAGATTGGAAGGAAAACATGTGGTGAAGAAAATGTAAGGATGTTGCAGTTAGGTATGGTTGGGTTGAGTGAATGGGAAAGTATCTGCCATAAAATGGGACACTATGAAGTTGGTCACTTTTGCATGAAGAGCGAAATGTTTAATTCATAAATAAATAAATTCAAGTAGTTTTTAAAGTCAGAGCTCAATATATTTATTTTTAGATAAGGGAAACAGAGGTTATTGGGTCTAGAAGGGATTGTGGAATTTGAGCCAAAACAAATCAGGTATCGTGTTAAATTTCGAAGCAGGCTCAAGGAGCTGAATACTCTACCTCTGCTCCTATTTTATATGCTCATTATTGTCAGCTTATTTTAATTCCTAATTGATGTAACTGTGATATTTTGCTGGCCACAGATGTAATAATCCTAAACATGCAGCTAATTTTTAATTTAAAGAAGATACTACCTTCAGATAGAAAACAAAACAGTTAGAAATTTTGTTCACATCTCACTTTATGTCGATCAAGAAGTTTATTTCGGAAAATGTATTCCCGTTAACTGTCTACAAAACATTTTATATGACTAACGTTTTATAAGAATATCGGTCCTTGTTGTGCAATAATTTAATTATTTTTCCTGAAATTTGGTTTTGTTAGGTAGCACTCATGAAACAGATGAGGGAGGATCAGCAGCGAATGAGGATGATTGAAAGCAAGAGAAACCGTGAGATTGCACAGTTGAAAAAGGAACAGAGGCGACAAGAAGTAAGTACTAATGAATGGGACATGATCAGCAGAAAAGTTGAGGACTGGCAACAATATTCACATTGAAGGCAAATGGTGCGCAAAGAAGATATTCACAAATAAGATTGAAAAAGGGCTTATTGTCTAATGGACTGTTCTGTGTTAAAAATTACCGAAGCCTAACACTCTGTGATTCCCTCCTTGAATTTTTCAATCTCTATTCTCCTCTATCCTCAGGTGAGGCAACAGCCTAGTGGTACTATTGCTGGTTTGCTAATCCAGAGACCCAGGTACTATTCTCAGGACCCAGGTTCAAAACCCACCACGGCAGATGGTGGAATTTGATGAAAAAAGTCTGGAATTAAGATAACGATGACTGTTGTCAATTATTGGGGGAAAATTCATCTGGTTCACTAATGTCCTTTTAGGGAGGGAAACTTCCAGCCTTACCTGGCCTGGCCTACACACGAACTTCAGACCCACAGCAATGTGGTTGACTGTTAACATTAATTGCTGACCAAATTTGTGATGTCCTCATCCTGTGAATGAATAATTTTAAAAAAGGTGCTCTTTAAAACCTACTTCTTCAACTAAGTTTTTAGTCACCAGTCTAGTTAAAAAGCTATTACAATCCTGGATCAGACAACCAAATTTATTTTACAATTCAGCTAGGGACCACTAATTTCCTTTAAATTCGATAAAGTGTGAGTTTCAAGGGACTTAGAGCATAAAGACCCAAGTTTCTATGTTTTTGAATAAACAACAGTAAACATTTTTGTACAATGTTAGAACAGTAATACAATCTGCTTATATGTACAACTTGTATTTTAACACTCTATATTTAACACAAGTTAATTCTGGTAATAATCTGTGATTGAACACCTCACAATATACGTGACAAAGCAAATACAATTAAAACACCTGCAATGGATTTCTGAGCAAATTTTCCCAGATATTAATGACACGATGGGTCACCAAATCTCACCACATGGGATTATAATTCTTCACTTTTGCAAATCTGGCCTTGAAACTCCCATTCAAGAGCCAACTGCTCGCATTCTGGTTGATCGCCACCTGTTTTTAGATTGACAATCCCTTGGACTCTGGAAATTGCACCCTTGTATTTACTCTCAGTCACATCTTCAGCTTTTCACTGACAGCTAGCTCCACCAAGCTAGATATACCACTCAGTTTTTCATTGAACTTCCTTTGTTGCATCAAGAGAATGCTGCTTGTGAAATTTTCAACCCTCGCCCTTGGCTGTACTGAATTATTAATGGCACACAGTATCTCCTGAGCCCCCACAATAGGTATCGACAGAGATTGGGTTTAATCTGTTTTAAGGTCACTTGATGCTGATAGTGGATATCCAAAGTGGTTACACTGCACCTATGTAACAACATCAAAACTCTAAGGCATGGGCAGATTTTAATGTTTACCACCAGGTCAAAAACTGCTAATAGGTGGCTGGTGGAAAGGGAATTGGCTACAATGTTCAGTAAAGGCCAAACTGTAACCTTCGAGGAAGATAGAATGAGGGAGCAGGAGTAGGCAATTCAAACCTATGATCCGGTAAGGCAAAGAAAGTCACCAGCAGTGGTTTGCCACTTTAGATAAAGTTTGTACATGTTCCCACAGCTATTTTCAGCAAAGCCCTGGCAGCAAGTTCAGCAATAATAGGCTGTTACTCAGTCAGGCTTGGTACATGACAAGGACGAGTCCCATTTCTAACACTGATGTTTTCTATATAACTGGCTACAAAACATCAATTTGGAGCAGTGAGAAAAACTGTTTAGATTAAGTGAATCATCAACTAAAATCAAATAAATCCATTGATTGGGAAAAAGAAAGGATAGATAAACAGAATGCTGTAGAAATTACAGATTTTAAAATTTTAAATTGCTGTTACATCAAACAAGAATACAGAACATCATAATAATTTGAATCACAGGGGCCCAGCCCCATAAATTTGATTTGAGCAGAGCTATGAGATTGCCGAGGAAGCACCTTTGTGACCTGATTGATTTTTGTTTTGACATAAAGCATGTTTTAGCCAAACGAAAACACATTTATCATATATTACAATTACCTATCTATATTACAAGGCTTTGAAAAGCATTGGCTTTGCATATTGCACTGCTTTTGGAAAGGCGCACGATGTTGTCAATGCAGTTAAACTTGTTTTCCATGTTAACATGCTGTGGTTGAATTCCCGGAGCATCTCTATCCCTTAGCAGCTTTTGCTAGGGAAACAGACTTGTGAAAAGACAGATATTTGTTCAACTCCTCAGGGTCCTCAGCATGGTCTCTTCCTTTTCTTCCGTTGATACATTTCTGTCCGCTTTGCTGAACTGTTCCTCAAAAATGCTGGAGGCCATTCAGCCTCATATTGCGTTGGTAACATCTTGACATTTGCAAAAGATTCCATCATGAGGTGCAACAGCTTTTCTTCCCATCCATGTTTGCTCAGCCAGCAGCAGTAATACACCAGTGCACTTTTTGTCTTTAAGCAATTAATGTGCAATTTAGTAAAAAACGGTACTAATAGTTCAGTTTCATCTGCATTAAAAATGTCACTTGGTGCATACTCATTCAGCACATGGGCAAGATCATTTTGCAACCACTGTTGTAGTCTTAACTATGATTTTGTGCATCAGAGTTGCCTTCCTCCACTTTGGTGGAGTATGACAAGCATGAACAAGTTTGGATAATCTTGAGTTACAGGTCCAAAAGTTTGGTTTTTCATGGGTATCCTTCGATGGGATTTTCAATCTGCTGGCATGACTCAGTGGATCCCAAATGTCTGGATTCAGATTGAAGTTAGAACGGGAAAATGGGATGTTACAGGTTACCATCTTTTATCTGCTGTTAAGTGTGTGTTTTTAGTTAGTTCTGACGGCTTTTAAATGGCTGACTGTTTTTATCATTTTTCATTTCAGTTCCAGATCAGGGCTTTGGAGTCTCAGAAACGGCAACAAGAAATTGTCCTCCGCAGAAAAACGCAAGAGGTGTGAATTTATTATTAAAAATCCAGATTCTGATTCCTGGCTGAGTCAATACGAATGGAATGCAAGTTAGAATAGTTGTTTGCTTGCTTTATATCACTGCAGAGCATTTTATTCTGTTGCTTGCATTATTTAATTTACTTTTTCAGCATCCTAGCTTTTTTTCATTTATATGGCATTGTGATTATTGCATTGTGGCATTGTCCAAAATATTTTTATGATAAAAGATCCTTATAAGTATTTATTAGATGTAAAATTATTCTTAAATTGAGCCTGCTGATTCAAACAAACTAAACTATTCAGAAAATAGCAGACAAATACATTGTGTTTAGAAAATAGACAGGCTGTAAAGCTTAACATTGGAAGGAAGTGGAACAACCCAACACTATTCAAACAATGAGACAACCAAAGGATCCAGTATTAATATCTCTATGTTGCACAAATTTGTTGACTTCATCCCAAGTAACAGTGAGAAATAATACCACCATTCTTCTTATATTACCATAGGATTGCAATTACTTAATTCGTATTTTTGAAAATTATGCTATTCTACCATGAAACGTTGATTTCTTTTCATATAACTATAGTTCCCACCAGCTGAGGACCTTGAAACTGAAGTTTACAGAGAAAGATCCCATTTCAAACCTTAGCTGGCAAACTTTAAGAAGGGAAAAGAAAATTTTACTTGTATACAAAAGTGATTTTACAAGTTTACTTAGATGTTATAGCAGAAATAAAGTAATTCATTGCCATACTCTGGAGTACCCTTTCTCAAGTTTTGGGTTCTTTAGTCCACTGACCTCAGTCAGCTCCATCTCCCAAGGCAGGAATTTTGAGAAGTATTCTAAAAAAAGTTGCACTATCAATGGGAATGTTAATCAGATGATTTTACTTCGACATGGATTTTAAAATGTGCATCACTGGTTGATAGAATACCTTTCAAAATAAAATTCTTTGTGTCGGAAGCATCAGTGATGAAGTAGTGTCCTTTAAAAGACAATATCTATAGTTCATTGCATTTTGCATCATTTCTGTAATTATTCTAACTTTTCCTTTGTTGTGCTTAGGTTAGTGCTCTACGAAGGTTAGCCAAACCAATGTCTAACCGAGTCGCTGGTCGTGTAAGCCGGAAGCAGAATGTCCTGGACTCTGGAACAGAGCTTTCGGCCAGTACCACATCTTCAGAACCAGAATCCGCCTCAAAATCCGTCTCCAATATTGTTAAACAGTGGAATAGAAAGTTAAATGCAGCCTGGAATGAGACAGTTTCTGCAGTGAATGGAACAAGGGCAGCAAGGTAAGCAAGTAATCAGTAACATGTAACTGAATCAATATTAATGAATTCCTATCAATGGAAGAACTATTTTGGTATATTGAGATGTGATAAGCTCAGTGTTTCACAATAAGAGGATGTGGAAAACATTTAATAATAGTGATTGGGGTCATTCTTATTCTCAGTCCTATTGTGAATCTGACCTCTTTAAAGGTTTGGTGGCAAAGGAAGAGATCAGAGGGTAAACAACGTAAAAACATAAAGCATTTTTCTTTAAAACCTAAGCCCAATTATTTGTTTTAATAGATTAGTTGGCTTTACATAGCATCAGAATTTTATATTCGGGACATAAATATACAAATCAACTTTACAACTCGGGGCAGGGCGGCTTGAATTTTGTGTATAAATCCTGTTATAGATGGATTTTTATAAAAATGAACTGTCACTTCTGATGACAGAGAACGTTGAAATTGAAAGGAAGGCTACGCAGTGAAACATGCAGAAGTTGGAAAAAGCAGTGCATTTGTAATTGCATTTTTTAAAAAAAGCACTATGAATAGTTTTTTTTTAACATGAAAAATGACTTTTATCAATCGTTATAAATAAGTTCTTCTGCATGTTTCACTGCTTAGCCTTCCTTTCAGTTTCAATATTTTCTGTTTTTGTTTTTAGACTAAATATCATTGATCACGGGGATTATATTTAATATTTTTCACCAACATTTGCTTCCAGATACAGGAGCAGAAGTAGGATATTCAGCATGTCAAAACTGCTGCGCCATTCAATGAGATCATAGTTGATCTAATAATCCTTAACTCCACTTTCTCATCTTTTCCCCATAACCCTTGTTTCCCTTAGTAATACAAAATGTGGCTGTCTCAGCCTAGAATATCTACTGTGAACTTCCAGTCTGCTAACTAATTCTTTATCCAAGGTGTTATGATACCAGCTGGTATTACCAGGCACGTCAATTCCCAGACATGAACCTGACTTGATAGATCACGCTTTTATTTGTTTTGGTTTTAATAATGTCGTCTCATGTTGGATTGTAAGCATTCCGTGCTACAAATTTTTCTTTGCCAAAAAACCAAAGTGGGATGAGCTAACCTATTTACTTAAAATAAAGTTGCAAGGATTTTTAAACATACAGTATAATTCCATTAATCTCAAAGCACAATGTTATAAATTGAAACAACTTTTGGAAAGTATCCAAACACATCCCCGGTCTAGGCCCGAAACGTCAGCCTTTCTGCTCCTATGATGCTGCTTGGCTTGCTGTGTTCATCCAGCCCTGCACCTTGTTGTCTCAGAACTCATGCAATACCCTAGAGTTCCTTTGTTCATCACTGTGGTAGATTTAATTCACTTGTTACGTCAGTTTTTATAAATGAGCTACAGATAGCTTCTTCGTGGTGCTATTGTACACCTGCTCAAATGTACTCCGCTTTAACTAAACTCTTTAGGGATTTAATGCAATTTTTCTGATCTGGGAAGAACACTATCTCTTCACACTGAGATAACCTAACACGCTATGTACCATTCCCTTTTCAAGAGCATTCCTCTATAAATTGATTCTACTCCAAGGATTTCACAGGACTGCTCCAAATTTACAGTAAAACTTCAGACAAAGCTCACTCTCTAAACAATGGAAGTTTCCTTTAAGGTTAAAATAATGTTTATTTTTTTCCTGGTTTTGCTCGTAGAAGATATAATGCATGAGAGGAAATAGATGGTTAATGTAAAATATTTTATTTACCTATTACATTCTAGTGGAAAAGAATAGAACTGATCTAAAAATTAAAGTTCTAAAATGGAGTAAGGCCAATTTTGATGGTATTAGGCAAGAACTTTCAAAAGTTATTTGGGAGAGGCTATTCACAGGTAAAGGGGTGGTTGGAAAGTGGGAGGCCTTCAAAAATGAGATAACGAGTCCAGAGGCAGTATGTTCCTATTAGTGTGAAAGGCAAGGCTGGTAGGTGTAGGGAGTACTGGGTGACTAGAGAAATTGAGGCACTGATCAAAGGAAAGGAGAAGGCATATGACAGGTATAGACAAGTGGGATCAAGTGAATCGGAATATAAGGGCAGTGGGAGGAAACTCGAGGGAAATCAGGAGGGCAGAAAGGGAACATGAGATAGCTTTAGCAAATGGGGTTAAGGAGAATCCAGAGAGATTCGACAAATACAGTAGGGGTGATAGAGTATTTAGGGAGAGAATAGGACCCCTTAAAGATCAACAAAACCTTCTATGTGTGGAACCGCAGGAGATGGGTGAGATACTAAACAAGTATTTCACGTCCATATTAACTGTGGAGAAGGTATGGAAGCTGATTAACTTTGAGAAATAAACAGAAATATCTTGAAAAGTGTTCATGTTACAGAGGAGGAAGTGCTGGAGGTCTTAAAATGCATAAAGGTAGATAAATCCCTGAGATCTGATCAGGTTTATCCCAGAACTTTGGGGGAAGCTCGGAAAGTGATTGCTGGGCCTATTGCTGAGATATTTTTATCAGCAATAGCCATGGGTGAGGTACTGGAAGATTGAACGGTGACTAGTGTGTTGCCATTATTTAAGAAAGGTGGTAAGGAAATAGACTACTATAGACCGGTGAGCCTGATGTCAGTGGTGGGTAAGTTGTTGGAAGGGGTTCTGAGGAACAGGTTCTACATGTATTTGGAAAGGCAAGGACTGATTAGGGATAGTCAACATGGCTTTGTGTGTAGGAAATCATGCCTCACTAACTTGATTGAGTTTCTGAAGAAGGGACAAAGAAAATTGATGAAGGTAGAGTGGTGGACATTGTCTATATGGGCTTCAGCAAAGTGTTCAACAAAGTTCCGTACTGTAGACTGTTTAGCAAGCTTAGGTCACATGGAATCCAGGGAGAACTAGCCATTTGGGTACAAAATTGGCTTGAAGGTAGGAGACAGAGGGTAGTGGTGGAGGTTTGTTTTTTAGACTGGAGGCCTGTGGCCATAGGGGTGCCGCAAGGATTGGTGCTGGGTCCACTGATTTTTGTCATTATATAAATGATTTGGATGTGAACATAGGAGGTATGGTTAGTAAGTTTGCAGATGACACCAAAATTGGAGGTGTAGTGTACAGTGAAGAAGGTTTTCTCAGAGTACAATGGGACCTTGATCAGATGGGCCAATGGGCCGAGGAGGAGCAGATGGAGTTTAATTTAGATAAATGTGAGGGGTTTTCCTTTTTGGTAAGGCAAATCAGCGCAGGACTTATACACTCAATAGTCGGGTCCTGCAGAGTGTTGTTGAACAAAGAGACCTTGAGGTGCAGGCTCATTGTTCCTTGAAGGTAGAGTCCCAGGTAGACAGGATAGTGAAGAAGGCGTTTGGTACACTTAGCTTTATTGATCAATGCATTAACTGTTGGAGTTGGGATGTCATGTTGCTGCTGTGCAATACATTAGTTAGGTCACTTTTGAAATACTGCATTCAGTTCTGGTCTCCCTGCTTTAGGAAAGATATTGTCCAACTTGAAAAGGTGTAGAAAAGATTTACATGGATGTTGCTAGGGTTGGAGGGTTTGAGCTATAGGGAGAGGCTGAATAGGCTGGGGCTATTTTCCCTGGAGCATTGGAGGCTGAGGGGTGACCTTATAGATGTTTATAAAATCATGAGGGGTTTGTAGGTGAGTAGCTAAGGCCTTTTTTCCATGGTAGGGGAGTCCAAAATTAGAGGGCATAGGTTTAAGGTGAGAGGGGAAAGATATATAAGTGAACTAAAGGGCAACCTTTTCACGCAGAGGGTAGTGCATGTCTGCAATGAGCTGGCAGATGAAGTGGTGGAGGCTGGTACAATTGCAACATTTAAAAGCCATCTGGGTGGGTATATGAATAGGAAGGGATTAGAAGCATATGGGCCAAATGCTGGCAAGTTTTACTTAGGTCGGAATGGACGAGTTGGACCATAGGGTCTGTTTCCATGCTGTACATCTCTATGACTCTATGACCTGTGTCTTCATGATAGAACACCAGGTACAGACTGGATCGATGGAATGTACATGAAAGGAAGATTAAAAAAAGCGTGTGAACTGGGGGAGAAAAGAGTTCAACTACATCAGTTGGACTGTCAGTGGGTTGTATTTCATTAAGAGATAGTAGGGTTTTCTGAAGAAGTGTCCGGACCCGAAATGTCAGCTTTCCTGCTCCTCTGATGCTACCTGGCCTGCTGTACTCATCCAGCTCTACACCTTGTTATCCCATATTTCATTAAACTTTGTTTATTGTCGACATAAGAGTTGCTATTATGATTTGCAATATAAGAAAATGTATTTTCGCTAAAGTAAGTGAGAATATTACATTATCTTAGTATCCACAACACCAACTAGTAACATAATCAATGTATATCCTTTTAGTGTTGGTACTGAGGTTTTTTCCTTATCGACTTTGTTGACTATTTTTCAGCAGAAAAGTCAAGTATCAGAAAAAGGGAGTTGGCGAGGGCTTCTCGAAGACAGCCCGGCTAAAATGGCAGGCACTGGAGTGTAGAATATCCGACATTGTGATGCAAAGGATGACTATTTCGAACTTAGAAGCGGATATGAATCGCCTGCTTGGGGTATTCATATTTAGTCATTACACAAACATGCAAAGTTACTTTCCAAACTTTTGCAGTACTCTTTCCACTTTTATGTATAAAACTGACAACACTTGTGTACCAAGAGCCATAAAATGCTCACTGCTGCTTTCAGTCGTGGGAAGACTATTTGGCTCAGCCTTTATCAAGTGCCTTAGAATTCAAATTTTCAAATTTGTTTTTTCTTCTGATTCACTGTTCCATGAACAAACAATCCAGAAATACTCTTGCCTTGCATTTCATCTTTTTAAAGTGTTAACGTCTGCTATTCCTTTTCCAGAAACGAGAAGAATTAAATGGCCTACATGAAGTGCTACTTGGGAAAAGGGAACGGATTCTAAAGGAAAATCCAGAAGATAAGTCCATTCAGGAAATAAATGAGGAACTCGAGGCTTTAAATGCGAATATCGACTATATAAATGACAGCATTTTTGAATGCCAGGCTACCATAATGCAGATAGAGGAGACCAAGGTATTCAAGTTAACACCTTGCAGAATGGAGAGAATATATAATGTTTGGTTTGGTATCTGAAACTGGTATCTGTATTGAAGATGTATGTGAATAAAGAGGATAACAACTAAAAATCTGAGACAGCAATCAAAAATTCTGTAGGCACTCAACAGGTTGATCATTATTAATGGAGCGAACAGGCAAGTTAATGTTTCAGGAGTAATCCTTCATCAGCGCTAGAAATTATAAAGACGAGTAACAATTAAAGAAGGTTCAGAAGAAAGCAGAGACAAAGAATGAGAAACATGTGTGAGAGAAGGTTGCATAAAATGACTTGTCAAGTTCTTTTAAAGAAAGGAGAGAACTTAGTTTTAGAGTGCTATTAACATGAGACAGTGTTGCGTGGAAAAACATAAATATAGAAATTAGAGAAACAACAACTTATTTTTATAGCATCTTTTAATGTAATGAAACATCCCAAAGTGCTTTCCAGGTAACATTATGAAATGAAGTATGTTGCAGAACTACATAAGGAGATATTAGGTGTCGGGTGACCAAAAGCTTGGTCAAAGAGATGTGCCTTAAGAACTGACTGAAATGGGGAAAGTGAGGGAGATATCGTAAGTGTAGAGAGGAAGCATGGAAGTATGTTTCAACAGGAGATGATCTGAAATGAGGCCAAGTCCAGTGATATTATGGAGGTGGAAATAGATGGTAGTAGTGATGGTTAGAATGAGTCACAAACTCATCTCAGGATAAAATGTGAAACCAAGGTCATGAACAGACTGACAGTCTCAGATAGTTACCAATGAGCTCGGTGTTCTTTCATTGGATATGGCGGTCACCGACAAGACAGTACTTTTTCTTCATTCGTAATTGCCATTATACTGAGTGGCTTGCTAGGACATGCAGAATATAGGGCTAACACTGGGGAAGAACGGCTGATTTCTTTCCCTAAAGGGCATCTGTTTTTATAGCTACCCATGGTAGCTATCATGTTCACCATTATTGAGACCAGCTTTTAACTGTAGAGTTATTGAATTTTTAATTCCAACAGCTGAAATGGCATTCGTCTGGGTCTCTGAATTACTAGTCCAGTGGCTTTTTTTCCTCTACGCCGCCATCTTTCCAGCATGTTGGACAAGCAATCTGGTAATTTATAAACAATGGAAAGTCAGAGAGATGGTCTTGTAAATGTACTTGTGAAAACAAGCACTGTGCCTTTCGGTGATGTCACCCAGGGGCAGCATGTAGACGCAAAATGAGAAGGAGTCAAGAGAAGATCTTTGTAAGGGCGTCAGAGAAATGGTGCAGAGCAAGAAGAGGAGCATTGCAAGTGATTCTCTGGCTACTGTCAGGGATTTGTGATTAACTGAGGCAAATGGAGTAAGCAGGACTTAAATGGCAATGAGAAGTTGTCTGAACGGAAGAGGGTCCAGCTCAGTTAAATGTGAGATAGTATATCTATTTGAACAGTCTGTTTTGAGTTAAAATGTGATGCCTCTCTTTGTAAACCATTTGAAACAGAGCTGGGCTTGATGCAATATCATTTTGAATAGATTCATTAAAAGCTTGCACTGACAGTTTCACGTTTTTAGTATTTTATGGTTAAGCTGAAAAAAGAGGGCTGGGAAGTACAAACTTGATTTGTCTCATACTAAATCCAGAATTTAGTCACAGTTTCCAAATGGCCTATTGCTTTTTAAGAGGTCTGTGTGCTTCACAGAGTGCATTGTTAAAGAGTAATCATTAAATTCAGAAAATTTAAAAAACCTTGACCTTAAAAAAACTATTTCAGGATTACCCATGAATGACTAGAAATGAGGGACATCCGCTGGCTGTTGCATCTCTGGAAATCCCTTGACTTTTAAACTGAGTGCTAGAAATTCTGACAAATGACCCATATCGATACTGCAGAGTTCATTGACTTCTATCAATTATTTTATGGAAAGTAGTAATAACAGACAGAAGAAAAACAAGACTTGCATTTACAGGACCATTTTCTGCAACCTCAGAACATCCTAAAGTGTTTCATAGCCAATGACACAATTTTGAAGCTCTGTTGCTGTTGTAATGTGGGAAACTCCAGATTGTTGGCTGCTGAGGTGAGATAGCATGAAAAAGTAACTGAAGTCAATTAACTAAAGTGGAATTTGGTACTCTGCAAGTGTCCAAAGATATGTTGGCTGCTTGTTGTACAGATTTGCACGATATTGAATGGGAACAATTCATATTAGGAGAATAAAGTGTGAATGGGGGAGAAATGAAAGTTGCAGATTGATGTATGCTCTTGTTAGCGTTCCAATTTGTTGCAGCCGCTCTATAGTGAAATGACCATTATGGTGACTATCATTTATGCCATCTAACTGCCAGTCTGCTCTGAATGAAAAACATTGATACCTTCTCAAGGGTATCTACGGATGGCCAATAATTCTGGTCTAGCCAAAGACACCCATGTCCATCCTGGGCCTCCTCCAGTGCCACAATGATGCCACCCAAAGGCTGGAGGAACAGCACCTCATATTCTGCCTGGGAACCCTGCAGCCCAATGGTCTCAATGTGGACTTCACAAGCTTCAAAATCTCCCCACCCCTGACCTCATCCCAAAACCAGCCCAGCTCATCCCGCCTCCTTGACCTGTCTGTCTTTTCTCCCACGTATCTGCTCCTCCCACCTCATTGACCAACCCCCACCCCCACTTCCTACCTACTAGCCTCATCCCCACCTCCTTGATGTGTCCGTCTTCCCTCCCACCTACCCGCCCCTCCCTCCTCACTGACCAACCCCCATCCCAGCTCCCTACCTACACTCACCTTTACTGGCTTTATCCCTGCCTCCTTGACCTGTCTGTCTTCTCTCCACCTATCTGCTCCTTTATCCACCTTCTATCATCGCCTCCCCCTCTCTCTATTTATTTCAGAGCCCCCTTCCCCTCCCTCATTTCTGAAGAAGGGTCTAGGCCCGAAACGTCAGCTTTCCTGCTCCTCTGATGCTGCCTGGCCTGCTGTGTTCATCCAGCTCTACACCTTGTAATCTCAGACTCCAGCATTGGCAATTCCTACTATCTCTGAGCCATTAGTTTAAGTTATTTTATTCAACCTGTTCAGAGACATTATGACATACCTTCAGGGCAGGTGAGAGTTGGACTCGGGTCTTCTGACCCAGAGGTAGGGAAACTACCACTGACTCACAAGAGCCTCTTCAAAGTTCAGCAAGGTAAGATCCATTTGTTTTACGTTGATTTCTTTGTGACTGTTACTTGCAGGATGAAATTAATTCAACAGACACATCTGTTGTCATTAGTTCGTGTTCCTTGGCTGAAGCGCGCCATCTGCTGGATCACTTCCTTAAAATGTCTATTGACAAGGTAACAGATTCACCAATGACTTCCTTTCTCTATATAATAGAGATACCCTGATTAAGCATCTTCTAGTTGTCAGTAACAAAAAGTATTTGTATTGTAACCAACTAATTTCAGTCCTTCATATCATTCCTGATCTGATGCATTTTCATGAAACCAGTCAGTATTACACCTGTACAGATCTTCCATTCAGCTAGTCCACACTATTGAACCAGCTTTGGTGCCTTTATTTCCAGAAAGTGATGTGTGCTGAACTGAAAATTAAATATTGTGGGATATGTAGTTTTGATGGAGTCTCAGCTAATCAGAAGAACGAAGAGCCCGGAATAATAGAGATTGTGTTGGGCCTAGATAAATTACTTATAGTCCCAAAAGGTTAAGTTTAAGAACATATATAGATGTTTCATTCAATGGGACACCTGGAACTAACATGTGGGTGACACATTGAAAATCAACTGGTATCTGACTGTTTCTCAAATTGATGTCTGTAACAGATGGAGGTAAATGGGGGGTGAGAGGAATACTGCATGCATGATAAATAAAGAAAGAGTAGCATTTTATATCTGCTGCTTAAAGTATTAATTCCCCAAGGTAGAAATTTTCACCATTTTAAAAAAAAGTAATATTTTCTCTTGACAGTAAATAGATTATTAATAACGCACAGTTTGAAGACAGGGAGAAGGATTTTGATCTGCAAGTAGTTACTATATTGACAGATAACCGGATTAGGCAACTTGAGTATGGAAGAGCGCTTTACAGGAATGACTGGCTAGTATGCCTAATATATTTATCAGAAGTGGAAGATGAAGGGCACTACACCTATAATTTCTCAACTATGTTCATTGCTTCATTTCAGGAGTGTCCACTTAGAAAGTTTGCATTGACATTAATTACTAATTCACTGGACAGCTCCGTTTTTAAATTCATTTAGTTCATTTGTTTAAAAAGATAAACCATTGCAAAACTACTATAAAATGACATCATAATAATTCCTGAAATTTGGCTAAAATTCAAATTGGAATTTTCATTTTGTACTGATGTAACAGTTTAGTCCTCAGCATTATTTGTAGATATGGACTGACAAAATAACAGATTGGAGTGTCTTGAAGCCTGTATGAATGATCGAAGATAGGTTCAGTTGTTTAAAAAAAATGTTAAAACCTTTTATATTCCATTATTTTAAATTCCATTGTTTTCAACTCCAGGGCATGCAGGTCGCTCAAAGAGAGGCTCAGATCAAGCTGCTTGAAGGTCGATTAAAGCAAATAGATGTGACAGATTCTGTTCCAACTCAGCTCATTAACATATTGCGGGAAAAAGCTGAGTCTATTCCTGAACTACAGACATTACTTCAAAGTGTTTCACAAGGTAATGTGCACTTTACTGTTCACAACACCTCTGGGATTTTACATACTTCTTAATTAAATATTTATAAATAGTGCAGAAGCTGAGAGTTTTATGGTTTTACATCTTTTCGCACCTGCTTCCGCACATACTTAGCTTCATCATTCATCTCAGCTGTTTGAACTAGGAGAGGTTCAAATATTTGTAAACATATTCATCCAGAAGGTTTGAGTTCATTATCCATTCATGATTGTTGCCTTCTAGCCAGCGATGTCTAAATCATGTGAATTAATGCAAAAAGATTGTTGCTACTACTTTATAGAAATTAATACAAAAGGTTGTTATAATTCTCCAAAGATTTTAAAAAGAACTTTCCTCCAAATTTTGGACATAAACAGTTGATATCCATTCTTGTGTTATACAAGCAGAAAAATATCTTGAAATTCTACACCATTCTTCTTTGATTCATAAACATCAAGGAGAAAGATCATAGAACTAAAAATATAAGTTTTTTTGTTTTTACGTAAGAATTAGGAGACAGTCTGAACAAAAGACTTTGATAAATTGAATGAACAGCATTTTTATATCTAATATTTGTAACTTTCAGAAAATGGAGAGCTCAGCAGTGATGAGGAAATCTCTGAGTGCAGTTCAGGTCTTGATAGCAGGTAAGCTTTTGAGAAATGATCACAATAAACATTATTATTGGGTAAATTTCTAAAGCGCACCTCCAATGTTATGTTGCTGTCCCTGATGTCCTGCAACAAACAAGAATTGTGTGGAAAGCGTTGTTTCGGAACTATTATCAACACATCAATACAAATAATGAGCTAAACATGTACATTCAGACCTTCCTGCGAATTGGCTAAAGTTCAAAATAAAGGCAAAATATTTCAGATGTCGGAACTATGAAACAAATGTAGAAAATGCTAGAGAAACTCAACAGGTCTAGCAGATCTGTGGAGTGAAAACAAAGTTAATCTTTCAAGTCTGATATGATCCTTCTTTTGAACTCTGAAGAAAAATCATATCTGACTTAAAATGTTAACTCTTTTGCTGCCTACACAGATACAATCATCTGCCAGGTTTTTCTAGCATTTTCTGTGTTTGATTAGGGCAGCAAGTAGTTATAGCTCAGAAAAATCAAGGGTTATAACTTAGCAATGGCAACAGTCAGAATATTACAATAATCCTTGAAACTCATAGGTTGTAGGGAGTGCAGAAATTGTCTATTTTTCCAAGTTCTTATCATTACCAAGCAAGTGTTTTGGATGTGTCCATGTTTGTGTGTGTATTTAGATAGGGGACTGGACTGGTTGCTACAGACAAAGGTACCTGTTGATACTTTCTGCCTAACCTAAAATCAAGAATTGTCATTTTGATGTGGTACCAGTGAGCATTCACAGTTCATGGGTACCATACATTCAATAAAGTGAGGACAAAAGAATAAATTCTTGGAAAACTTTCATTAAGAAATTCAGCAATATTTAATGTAATGTATAAATAATTCTTAAATATTGACTTACTGATGGATAATATTTATTTGCCCTACAGGAAAAATATGTGGTAAAGTAGCGATTGGTGTAAAATAATGAATGATTTGAATTAACTCAGTTTCACACAAGTTAGGTTCTATGCTCATAATGCCAGAATACTGAATTTTATTTGCTTGCAAAATAGTTTTGATTGCTTTCAAATAGTATCAGAGTATATTTAAACATTGAGAGAGAAACAGAGTTCATGTTTTGAGTCCCGTATGACTCTCTGTTCTGAAGAAGAGTCATACCAAACTCACAATGTTAACCCTGTTTTCTCTCTACACAGATGCTGTCAGACCTGCTGAGTTTCTTCAGCATTCTGGGTTTGTTTTATATTTCTAGTATCCACAGTACTTGACTTTTATATTTTGATGTTGCTGGTAGCTTTTTTGTTTTTAACATAAGACTAACAAGTTGCCATAGCTTATGTTTTCCCCTGCTCAATATGAAGGATAATAAAGTTAACATCAACGTTCCAAAAGAGATCCAGCTTACTGCAGATTCATCACAGATTTTGCCCCTTGAATTTCATGCTCCTGTCTTGGGATGTATTTTTCACTGTATTTGTATTTTGAACAAAAGCACTTGTCATTGGAGTCAAAAGAGGCCATAATGAGTTGACAGCAACTGATAGAAATCCTTTATATAATTTTGGCCAAGTATTTTTAAGATTACATTTGGTGAAATAGAAAGCCAGCCAAGTGACAATTGACTGTGAATCATCTATTGACAACATCAGTGTAATTTTAAACTACAAAACAAATTTATTAAATTAAATTTATTGAATTTTTATGTCAAATTATTAAAGTGTAGTTGTCAATCTTGTGCTTTCGCGGTTGAAAATGATGGTTTGTGTCTTAAGATTTTGACATTGTTTTCCCATCCTTTCCTGAAACAATGAATCTATACATTTAGGTATTTATTCTAATAAGTGTTATGTTTACTCTTTCTAGTTTAATATCCAGTTCTTATTCAAAGCGTTCCCTCAGTCAAGGAGATTTTAGAATAAAGGTACGACTGTTATTTTATCATCAAAATGTTTTGCACTTACATGCATAGTTTACTAACTGATGCATTATTCCTTTGATATATTTTTAATGCTGGCTTGGTACTGTGTTTAATATACTCCAGCATCGTATTATCCTTTGATTTATCATTTAGGATGCCATTTTACAGTACATTTTCAAGCTTTTAATAATTTGTGACATTTCAGAAGCTCAGTTTAATCCATAATTACAGACCTAAAATGAAGATGCTTTTAAAAACTATCTTCTTGCATTTGGTTCGGTGGGTAGGGGGGGGTCTGTGTGTGTGTGTGTGTGTGTTCCAAATGTTACAATAACCCTTTAATTCGCACACAAAAATACAATCTACAACTAATTACACTTCATGAGAAAGCTTAGTTATCTCAGTTTTTAACTGCATTCTTAAGGCTGGGTCAGGACCTGGTAGGTATTATACCTGTATTGTTACTACCGTGCACAACCTATTCCTAAACTAACATATTCAGTTTATACTCTAGATGTAGCATCATTATTTTGATTTTGTTTTTATATTTAGACAGAGCAAAAAACAGAGTTGCATTACAGGGAAGGTTATGGCTCTGCTGTGGACCTGTCCACTTCAAGTCTAATAAGATCAGCTGATATAAAGGAAAATGGCTTTATGTCAATTGATGCCCTCTCACGAGTTCCAAAGGAGACAGAATCCATTACTCTCCAGCCGAGATCCGGAAACACTTTGTAAGTCAATGTACTATTCTTGCAGTGAACAATCATATGCTGTGTTTTATTTCAAAATATCATGAAATGTCCCACAGATTGGAAAACATCAACCTGCTAAATGTTTAATTGATGCAAGACAGAAATAAGTCAAGCAGGCTCAGTTGTTTTCTAGACAAACTTATAAATATTGCATATGACCAAACAATGCACTTGAGCCAGATAAAGGCCTTTTTTCTCAAAAATATGTAACTGAAATGCTAAAATGTTTTTGCAACTTATTTCAAGTTGTCACAGGATTCCACTCTTTCCTAAGTATATAGAAGCCAAATATTGTTGCATAAACCATTTCTTTTAAAAAAAAAATCAACTCCAGGTCTTGCTACTTTTATCTCTGAATGTTGGGCTTGTGTTCTGCATTCTGAGCATGGCATATTTGGGTATTTACATTTTTCTGTCTAACTTCAATATTAAGTCCACTAAAATCTCTTTGTAAATCCATTTGTACCATGCTCATTTATTCAGAAGTTTACATTTAAATTCAGTTGTCCCAGGGTTTTGTAGCTGTATGTTGGCTACAGAGTTGTGCATCCAGTTCTTAAACAGCAATAGAAATTTGTCAGGTGAACCCTGATCTGCATTCAGCCATGTTCTAATGAGCCAGTGCCCTGACTTTGTTCAGAATGTGAACAAAATCTAGCCTTCCTGAGCAGAACAACGTGTAGTAAAGAAACCTAAGAAGGAATAGAAGACTTATAGTAATGAGGACACTGCTGTACAGCAACATTACTTTCATCTTGCACAGGAGTGATATTATGTATTTGCAGTAAGTGGTGCTATTTCCATATTCATTGTAAAATAGATAGTGGCATAGTTGGGTAGAGTATTTGTGGATTAGAAGGCAGGATATTAGAATACTTAATGTTTGTAAAATGATAAGAGGTGAAGAGTGTATGTTCCCTTTCAAAAAAAATGTGATTTTTTTCTCTAGCTCAGAGACTTAAAAAAGTCTGCAAGCAGCAACAGCTACACAGAGTTCTTGAATCAAAACATTTGTATCAAAGGTATATACTTTTAGCAAGCAAAGCAGCATTTTTACCAAGATAGCAGGTTTTGAATTTAGCCAATTAATTTAAACAGGGCCCGAGGTATCAAAAACCAATTGGATTCGGATCTGATGTTTTTGACAACCTAGGACCAATCCTATTGTAAGAATTTAATAGGTCATCATGGGTATAAAAGAAGAGTACATTTGAAAATCGATATGAAAGCAAACTATCATCTGTTACGAGAAAGGTTCTCAACAGCCATCAGCTTTAAAGAAAGTGAAAATAACTGGCTCTTACAGAAATCTCTAAGATCTCAGAGTAAGCACCATCTAAATAAAGGTACAACAACACATTTCCTTTAACCAATTGCAGGGTGAGGCGAGCTTCTCTGGGTGGTTCAGTTTTAGTTATCAGAGGGAGGCCGACCACTCCTTCATAACAGGATTGGTCACGTAAGACTCTGTCAGAACAGTGCAAATTGTAATTTATATCTCTAATGTGTCTCTTTGAACCAGAATGTATTTTATCTGTAGTAATAAATGATAGTTGTAGGAAATTTGGTACACTGCAGTTTATTGACTTTTTTTTCAAAAGCTTCATTGACAACTAACGAAAATCTCTCTCTTTTCAAGTCCCAGGCAATCTGCTAAAAAGCTACAAGATACTTCACCACTCTTGAGGAGGAAGTCCTATGAGAAAGTACAGATGTCAACTGACAAATCCAGGTGAATATAGTATAGTATTAAACAGCATACCAAAGGAGGGGACTTTGCTAAGATATTGATATTCGGAATGAAGGCATTTGTGCTTTTGTTAAAACATTTTATACCATGTTAATCTAACACAAGTGTAGTTAGAGTAAAACCGCATTAATTTCTGATACTTTTGCTATCTGAATACAAGCACAGTAACAAGTATCATGATGTGTGCCATGTCAACATATTAGGTTGTAATGAATTCTGAATGGAAGGGAAAAGAATAATGTATTTATAAAATATTACATCAGTAAGAGTAAATACACAGATATTTCTATATTTTGATGCTAAGTTTTAATGTGATCATTCCTCTACATTATTGCCGCACGTTAGACCTCACAATTAAACTGGATTGTCATCCGTGCAAAGCTTGGAATGCCAAGAATTCAGAATATTCTGAGTAGTTGCTGGCATATGATTCAATTGTAGGTACTAGTTCTGTTGCAAATTCTCATTTTGGAAGCTGTCCTTCAGGTTTGAGTTAGGTGAGGAAATTCCATATTTCTGTAGGTTTTTGAAAACATCCTAAAATTCATTATTTTACATTTAGCAGAGTTTTGTATTTGTCATGAGATGTGGGTGTCACTGGCTAAGCAAGTATTTATTGCAAATTCTTAATTGACAAGAGTGCACTTAAAAATCAACCACATTACCCTGGGCACGGAGTTACATGTAGGCTGAACCAGGTAAGAACATTAATGAACTAAAAGCCTATTTAGTTCATTACTGTCCTTACCTGGTTCAGCCTACATCAGTTACACAGTCTACATTCCTTTTAAATTACAGATTTTTAGCCAATTCAAATTTCACCATCTGCCATGGGGTTTGGTGAGGAATGGGGAATAAGAGTGTTAGACTGGGGTTCTGGATTCTAGTCCAGTGAGAACACCACTACTTCACTATCTCTGCTAATTTATAAGTTGCTCATTTTCATTGGATATTCTTATATTTTCGATGCTATATTGAGAGTCTGTAGTGCAGTTTACTGATGAAATCACTTTGGATTTAGTTCTCCCAACTGCCCTGTCAGAAGAGATTTACCAGGTTGTTGCCAGAAATGGAAGGTTTTAGTTATAAGGAGAGGCAGATGGGCTATGACTTTTCTCACTGGACCGTAGGAGGTTAAGGGGTGACCTTAGAGAGGTTTATAAAATCATGAGGAGTATGGATAAGGTGAATGGCAAGTGTCTTTTCCCTAAGGTCGGGGATTTGAAAACTGGGGACATATTTTTAAGGTGAGAGGAGAAAGAGTTGAAAAAAGACGTGAGAGCCAATGTTTTTACACAGCCATTCGAATGTGGAAAGAACTTACAGAGAAATTGATGGATGCAGTTACAATATTTAAAAGACATATAGATGAGTAAATGAAAAAGAAATGTTTGGAGGGATACGGGCCAAGTGCAGACAGGTGGGTCTGGTTTAGTTCGGAATTATTCAATATGGACTGGTTGGACTGAAGGGTTTGTTTGTATGCTGTATGACTGTATGATTTCATAAGGTCAGCCCAAAATTGGCAGAAATTTTACAGAAATAAAGGAAATGGGTTTTTCTCATATGTTTGCAGTGTTTCTGCAACAGTGGATGTTCAAGAGAGTACGTGAGGGAATTCCAGGCAATAGAAGATAAATTGGGTGCTAAACCCCAAATTTACTCCAAAGCAAAATGACACTGTACCCTCAAAGGATGTTAAATTTGCACTGAGGCCAGTCGCATATATAGATTGTTCTGTGAGCACATTGTGAAATATGTGCTTGAAATAATTGTTAAATAAAGTTCTGTACAAATCTACCAGCTAAATCTCTAACCATTTTCAGTAGTTTGCTTCTGAGCTATTAGATAGAATGTCTTATCTTTCAACCAGTTTCAAAGGAAAAACCATTAAAAGTAGTAGTAGGGCATCCTGGTTTGTCAGTTTGTATCCAATTTAATTCAAGTGTAACAAAGCTAGCTTCTTAGTTTTGCCACTACTTTCTCAATACTATGGCTTTAGTTTCCAGATCATAAGGTGCACATTAGCCTTACCATTTTAAAACATTTATAATTTGTGCTATAATCAACAAGTCAAGGTTTGCAGACCAGTACACCCTGCAGTCAATAAATTTCTAATGTGTGCAGAATACAGTTAAACTGGATTAGTCTCTTCTACATGCAATTGCTTTGAGTTGTGCAGCTTATTCTCAATTCATCATGTTTACAAAGGAGAAATGTTAAATAACTGAAGGAGTCAATGAGTAATATTAATATTTAATAGATTATAATACAGCAGACTGTTTAATTGTTCAGCTCTGACTAAAACTATTGTTCCTTGCAGGACTGATTGGAGGTCCTCTGAAATTAATATAACTCCTCCTTCTTCTCCTCCAACCCGAGCTCGTAATGACAGGAATGTGTTCTCCCGACTCACCAGTACTCAACTTCAGACTTTCCCCGCACATGACAAGTAAGTACACAACAAAAAGAATGTGTTCTGTTGTTTTTCTGATGCATGTATTGGTACATGTATGAACATTTATTCACTCCCAGCAATTTCTGAAACATTAATTTTTTTTTATAAAGCAGATAATAAACCTTTATGAAATCTTCTTGTCTGAAATTTGAAATCAACAGTTTAATCCTTTATTTGCAGGTGCTGGTATGTTATACAATATGTAATCATTTTGGATGTTAAACTAACCCAGAAGTTCACTATTATCAATTTCCTCAATTCTAAATCTTTTATGCCAACCAAGGATTAATTACATCACATGAAGAATGCAGTGGAAATAGTAATTAGCTTTTACAATTGTTATATATAATCTATACTTGTTTTTTCCTCTGAGTAAATAGCACTTTCTATGATACAAGTCTACATGTTGATATCTGTTTATGTTAGAATTAAAAATACAGTTCTTATAAACTGGCTTGTTAACATGTCTTCATTGAAGATTCTAAAAGTGAAGCCAGTACTTTCTGAAAGTGCAATTTTCAACCACAAGTCATGTCCTTTCAGGGATTTGTATCATGTTTCACATGGAATTGTTTAATTCAGTCTAAGTCTTGCTACAGGCAAGAATTATAATCACTTTCTAATTTACATTGAGGTAGAGTTTCTAATTTTTTTTCAAGAAAATCCAAAACTTTAGAATAGTTACATCACGATGGTAACTCCATTACAGCCCTAATTTTGACTTATGACGCCGTACTGTTCTTAGGATAAGGTTGTCAAAAGCTCTCCTATTACATGATTTTAACCCCAGCAATCTATTTTGAAATTCAGCTTTTTTCTATTTGCCATTGTGCAGTCAATAGGTGGTTATACTTACTGTTTATGCCATCTAAGCTGATCGGAATATCCTTTACAAGGATAAAAAGAGAATTTAATTGTGTTCCCTATTTGATAATCGGTGTTTTAACACAGATTGATTTTGAAATTGTTTTAGAGGTAGATAACAGTTTTTTAATTTGTTTGGTAATAGTGCAAACACATTGGTTGTTTTTACTTGGTATCACTCTTCCAATGACTCTTCAATCTTAATTAGGTAAATGGTCAATACATTTTCACAGAAACAAACCAGCTAATCTGTGTGGGCAAGTGTTCACTAGACGCAACAATTCACTGATCCTCGGTTCATCTGTTAGCAGCTATGAACTCAAAATGATAATGAAAGTTTTCTTCCCATACTTCAAGTCATTGGAAATTGAAAGCTGCCTAAAATTATACTAATGAACACCAGGGGTGGTGAGTTCATGTGCTTATCAAGCAACAGATCTCACTGCTTGTACGTGATGCTCAATGGTACAGTAGCAGTAATAAAATTAAGCATGATTGTACAAACAGCAATAATGGCTAGCCACAGTTTAGGCTAACATTATGAACCTAAATATTTGTCAAAATGTCTTTTATCACCTTCATAGATGAAACAAAAATTAGCTGACCAGCAGTTTCCTTCAAGCATAAATAAACACAATTTGTTGGGGATTAAAATTGTGAATACTATTTAAAAGAAATTATTAATCAAATTTTCTCACAAGCAAAGCAATGTGACTCTGCACAGTTATTACAAGAAAGACAATACTTCTATTACAACTTTCCCTTTGGCTATTTTACCCAAAACTTAGTGATTGAATTACACACAATCATAAATCATTTTTTATCAATGTGCAATCAACTAGTACAAGATTTGTACATTTACTTTTCACTGAAGTGATTCCAAATATGCCTGTAGAAATTTTTATGCAAGAATATCCAATTGCTTCCCGGTCCTATAATATAGTTTCATGCAGGTTTTTGCCGTCTTATCAAGATTACCAGCTGTATTTGAACCCCAGACAATAATTCACTATTGTTTCTAATATCTGCAATTTTGAACGATGTTATGACCAAGGTTAGTTTAAATTTTAATGGTCATAATTTCAATGGGCTAAAAAAAATATATTCCATTAAAGATTTTTAGGGTCATTTTGATTGTATTCAACAAGATGAGAAGATGACCCTCTCTGTGGAGGGTCGGTGTCGACTTGATGGGCCGAATGGTCTGCTTCCACACCATAAGGATTCTGTGATTCTATTCTATGAATAACATCAGCTCTATCCACCCAAACAAACTGAACACATAACTGATTCTTTGAAATTGAAATGAATGGAAGTGATTAATGGTTATCACATTCTGTCTGATACACAATAAGTGATTGCTTGTTATAAATATAAATGGTCTATGTAGCGTAGACTGTAATTAAAGTGAATGTGGTAAACATGGACCCCCAATGCACCACATCCTCTTACCATTGCTGTTCAAAATATATTGTCCATTGAAGCCAAGGCTGTCTGATTAGATAATCCATATCCAATACAGAACACTGGATCTTTCCATTCTTCAAACACCTAAGCCTTGTTTGCCATAGATTTTTAGAAACAGTTTGGCTGAAATGAGGTTCATGTGCAGTTTGCATAACTAACAGTTACTGATTTTCTTTACTTCAATATATATTCCCAAATTATATTTTGCTTTGTCTTGCTTCTGAAGGTCCTTCAGGAAGCATAACTTAAAGGAGGACAATCAATGCTGTGTTTATCTCTCGCGGAAAGCATGACTTTTACGTGAACATTCCAATTGATCTCTAGAATATACAAATTACGCTTGTGTTTCTTGTTCACAAATTCTATGTGTTTGCTTATTCTGTTAACATTAACTTTGTTTGTCTGTGTCGTCAAAGTTTGTCTTTTTCACAATGTTGGCTGTGCGTATACATGTCTTAGTTATCATACTATGGTAGATATGCCAAGTCACATTCAAAGTTTCTTTTAGTAATGTTTTACTTTTGGTGCTTTATTCTTGATTACATGTCTGTAGCTCACTTACAGTCCATTGTGGATTACATGCCTCCTGAACATGCTTTTAATAATATATCAGAAGATTTAAGTCATAACATTTAGAGCAAAGAAGTGAAAGCCGGTAAGCAAATTGATCTTCCCCATTGGTATTTCAGTATGGTTTTTAAAGTCGCAGAAAATTTTGTTCAACCAAAATTAGCTTCTAGTATTTCTACTCGAAACTTACCAGCTTGACCAAAGTTCATGTCATAGCTAGGGTCAGCATCTGTATCTGTATATATATAGAGTGCAACAGATTTAGTTACAAGTACTGCTCACCTGAGGCAATTTATTTACGAGTTCATTATGTACCCAACATCCTGCAAACTAATCCCGCATTTACATTGGCTTCTGAAAGAACACTTTTGCTTGGGATCAATTTTGAGATTGTTTGGCTGGCTTTCTGCAGAAGCACATTGATTTTGGTTTACTTGTACTTTAATTTGGTGGTCTTTAGAAATTATTTGAGGGTTGTTCATTGTAATATATAATTTCATATCCTAACTTTCTTGACATTGCTGTTTTTAGTTGCATCATTGTTGTAACGTTCATACATTTTCAATCTCTTAAATATAAAATCGCTGAGAATTGTCAGTAAAGCATTCAGAGATGTGTTTGGAAGAGAAGCTTCACAATATAAACGATTAAAGTTAAGACATACAAATGGAGTTCCTTAGAAATCTGGCTATGGCGAGCAAAACTATACTTTAATCCAAATTTTCTTTCTAATTATTAGTTATAGTCCACAAAGACCGTAAGCATCCCTTGTTGCTATAAAGAAACAATAGACTAGATACACCTTTAGTGGTAGCATTGTATAAGTGTGAGGCATGTTGAGGAGGCAGATATCCATGAGCTGCCACAGTGAGTATAAGAATTTAACCCATGTTGGCATCATGTGGGAAATTGGCGAAGCAATTGAAGTATTCAATCAGCACACACTTTAAATTTGGGGTAACAAAAATAGAACGACCTTGGAAAGCTCAGCATGTCTGGCACCACCTGCGGAGAGAAAGCAGAATCAATGTTTTGGGTCCCTTGACCCTCCTTTGAGGTGTTAGTTTGAGAGATTCCTATCAAACTTATATTGTCTGCCTCCTTACCCAACAATGCATGCATGCATGTACATGCACATGCATGTGCGTGTACACACACACACACACACACACACACACACACACACACACACACACACTGGATATTAGAATTAGACATGACGAATAGAGCAGAAAGTGGGCAGCAATTGGAAACACTGAGGAGAAAGAGAGAAGTGCTTGAGGTGATCAAAGTGAGGGACAGATTGTATGGGTGATCACAGATGGCAAAATGAGGAACAAAAGCAACCTCATACATGGCCTAGATTGTAGATGATACGAGGTTATGTGTTCTGTACTTCTACACATTCTGACCTTCACCTTTTCCACTCATTGAAGTGATGTGGCTGACATCCCAATATTAAATACAATACAGATTTTCTTTTTAATGAAAAATCAGTTAATGGAGAATATAGCACACAAATTTAATGGAGTAACTAGATGCAGGCTAAGTTACTCAGTTGTATTCCTGAACTCAGACATGTTGAGTAGGAAGACAACTCGAACAGCATGATGATTTTACCACCAGTCTGCACAAATGCACCATTAAATCTTGGTGTTTCTTTCAGCTATAAATGTTATGTATTTAATATTGCCACGGCACAATTTCTGTCCATATTTTTAAGACTACAGTCATCTCTTAGAATTATCTAGCTTGTTCAGAAGTCTATGTAATGGATGAGTGTGAGAAAATAACTCTACGCAAAACAAAAAGACAAAATTCCTAGCTTTTCCTCTATGTAAGTTTCTGTCTTTTGTGGCATTCAATATTGCTTAACTTGGCACACCTACTATTGCTCTACCTTGTTTCCAACAATTACTCTACTCAACAGTCCAACATGCTGGAGCTCTTCTATCTTTCTTCCCCATAATCCTGCTGCTGTTTTGTTCATAGGTCTGATGACAGTGACTCCTCTCTCTCGGAGGTTCCCAGGTACAAGTTTCTTTTGTCACCTCTTGCATTGCACAGGCCTCTTGCTTCTGGTCTAACTGGTCCACGCAGCTGATTGCTTTGCTGTTTTGCATGTTATTATTTGTGTTACATCTGGTCTGCACTGCATTTTGTACCAAAAAGCAACATCATTCTGCACACTAGTTGGTTGGTTGTTGACTACTTTATTGAATATTTTAATGGAGAATTCTAATGTAAGGATGGTTTTAGTTCTCAGTATGGTTTGGTTTGTGTTTTTTTGGTTGGCCTGATTTGCATGCACCTTTCATTTGGCTTTGAAACAGTCAAAGTAGAAATTATCTGTCAATATTTGTTATGTTGGGTCACTGGGTGTTGGAAATTTTTCATCGGAAATATTAACATGAACAAATGGAATGATTGGATCCAGATCAAAGAGTTTGTAACTGTGATTTAAATAAAGACTTGACTCTACGGATTTACTCACAGGATTCAGTGATTTCAAATTCAAAATGAAGGTAAGGATTCAAAAAAACAACAATGACACCGTTGTTCAAAATATATTTTCCAGACTGTCAACACTGCATCTCTTTTTAAAAATTGTAAATCCAACCTCTACCAAGTCAGTATGACCATCAGACATTGCATCAATTTACAGAAACAAAAATGAACTAAAATATTTTTCAGTTGATTTGTTCATCACAATGAAGAACCTTATTTTAGAATCACTGTTTGTAAGCACTGTTATGATTCCAGCTGATGGTAATACTGGACAAGGCATTTTCCAGAGTGAAAGCAGTCTTGATAGACCATAAGTTTTATTTTTAGCTATTGTGGCTGTTAGTCACTGAAAACATTTACACGGGGCTGTCAATGTACTTTTACCAAAGAATGCAAGTTTATTGCACAAAAAGAAAGGGAAAATGAACTGTATATATTTTGTGACAGTTTGGAAAAATCTTCTTGTAAAGAGCAAGCAGCAAGTTTTAACCCATTTTCCCAGCAATATTATCTACGGATATCTGACCACAGTGAAATATTACTCCTTTTTTGTACTTCAGACTTCCTTATTCACTTACAAAGGTTGCAAGTGTTCCTTTTGATGGCTTTCTGCACATTCACTAGATATGATTTTCTCCATCGCTCACTGAGGCATACAGACAGAGTCTACTTCACTGACTTTCCTCAATGAATTCTGAGGGGAAAAAAGAAACTAAGCGCTGCTAAAATAGCTTAAGACTTTTTTCTATCTCTGGCCTTAAGACAGCAAAAACTGAACTGCTTTTCTGCTGGGATGAAACTGTTCTGAACTGCAACCTACTTCTCACCTTTTAAAATGTTTTTGCTAAAGTTCCATGCAAAACAGTGCTAGTTGAATTAAAGTTTGTGGGTTAAATACTGGGAGTGGCTAAAACATTTGGTTGAAGGATAGGAATGATAAGTACTCATTCGAGGAGTTTTGACAGATTTGGAAGAATGGATACAGTGTCCCTCTGGATTACTACTGTTCCTAAATTTAACTAGCAATGACCTGGATCCCAAATCCCAATGCAAAGTGGTTAAATTTTCATATGGTGATGAATTAGGATGGGTAGCCGATTATGAAGCAGCGAACAAAATAAAAATTAAGTGGAAAAAATCTGTACTTTTCCACATGGAGGGTAATGAAATATTGGTTAAATATCCAGGAAAAAAGCAAAAGAGATTGGTCATAGTTTAACTGAACATCAGAACAGGCTCAAGGTGCTGAATGCCCAGTCCTGTCTGAGATGTTTCTTCCTAATTGGACAGAACAATAGCACAAGATAACACAG